TAAAATCAGTTCGTGAAACAAATTTCTGTCTGCACTTATCCCATTTTGATTTAATTCAAAATGCTGCAGAATAATTGAATAATTCCGTGACTGATAACCTGGCATTATCCATTCCTTTTTGTTTGCGTTCACTTTGCAGATCACTGGAAGAAAGCTTATTACTTAGAGTTCAATGACTGCTTTCCTAATAATCGGCTTTCCATGTTAGATGAACGTCTCATAAATACCGTCCGCATTTCTTTGCATTGAGTCAATGAGTTGACTGACTTAGCATTCTGAGACATTTAATCAATCATTAAGATTTGTATGCAATCTGATAAGAATTTCTGTTCAGTATGCAACATATGTACGAGATGCATTAAGCAATTCTCTTTCGGAATTTCTAACTCCCTTTGTGGTGATTAAGAAATGGTAATAAATGGTTAATGATATTTTTCACCTTGTGAAGTGAGATCCAGGCATAAATTGACTGAGAGTGTTTTACATTTGTAAGTGGTGCGGCAATCTTGCGTAAGTACTGATATTATTTCATTCTTCACAAAATTACAAATCTAAAAATCAATGAATCCACAATTAGTATGTTGGAAGTGTGTTACTTACAACACTTACAACAGAATGAACTAAGTGTTGTTTGTTGAAATATGACATTCGTTAAGATAAATCAGCTTGATTATAAATCCTACAGATCAACCCATCTGTCCCGTGCAGAGTTTAAGATTTCAATAAGTATTCTTGACAGTTTTGCTTCACATCGTGAATGTAAACATTTGTTTACTGTGTTTAAAGGTTCTTAGGTTTGTGTTGAAAACAGTCATCTTTTGATCAAAAAAATGGACAAACTTATATTTCAAAACTATTAAGAAAAGATTAAAAGATAATTTTTCAGCGCTGTTTATATGATATCTTCAGCTGTGATGATATTTTAAGACTGGTATTGGACAATCACAAAGAAAGCAATAAAATATGTAGAAAACAAGAAAGACTCACAGCAATCACAGAATTCATAACATTAATGCTATGTTAGAAGTATAAAGTGAGAGTTATTTCTCCTTACTGTGAAGATATCAACATGGCCACGTACATACGAGGACTGTTGCTCGTTGCCTACAGTCACTTGTGGAACATGTAATTGGTTGTATCCTTGGCTTCATCCCAATTTGATTATTTATCCTTTGCAAAAAGTGCAGCCATGTGATTCCAATCTCGTAGTCTGCAACGGGCCGCTCCGGTACGTATATGCATCAATGCCTTCTCTATCATTCCTCGCATATTTACATCCAAAAACACTCCGTCCTTTCTTCCCTCCCAACCGCCATTGTCACTTTGATGTGTTTACTTCGGAATTAAATGCACTCTTCCCCGTGAGAAGAAAATAACCCAATGATCTTTTTTATGTGCAGGCGATGGGGCCCAGTCAAGTGCAAGATATGCGCAGTTTAATTCGCAAATGGAATTTGTTTCCAAGGAGCTTCCCTTAACTCCATCCTCCTCTCTTCTAGCTCTTTTTTTTTTTTTTTGGTTATAAAACCTTCCCTGCTTGCTCGCTGAGCACGGTACAGCGGCCATTCGCTTTCAGGTGGCTGGTCATCGCGCCGAGGTTGCCAGGTTTGGTAATAATCTATGTCGGAGATCGCGATGCCGTGCCTAAATGCCCCGATGTTCTGTGTCGGTCCGGCACTGGGATGACTGTCATGACCTTAGCGGCTGTACTTATCGGTATCGATTGGATGGCCCTCTGAAGAACAAGAAAGTAAAAAAGAAACGAGCGAGAGGAGAAGAGATTGGAAGACTAGGAAAATAAGATCAAGGTTTTCAAGAGAATAAGATAAAGAAGGAAAAGAAGAAGGAATAGAAGAAGAGAAGTAAAGAACTGCTGATGGAGATGACAGACAAGAAGGGAATCTGAGAGTCAGAAATGAGATACATTGAAGAAGAGGAATGAGTAAATAGGATTGACTTGTCTCTCAGAGCTGGACAGGTGCGACTCAGGATAGGATCAAGAAACTTCATCAGACTAACAAGTCTTATTCTGTGAAAAAGAATTAATCTGCTCAAGTCCTTCTGCGTGCCTTCTTAATTACTGGTGGTGCTCTAAACACAGACAAGGAGCTAAAGTTGGCTCAGATGAGTTTTTTGGGGTATAATCTTATCCACTTTTTGGAACATGTCTGCATCTTAAGGAATACTGTAAACTTCAAAGTGGCAGGTTTTTATATGCAATTGTAGGTAATTAGAGGGAAAAGAATTTGTTTGAATCCAGGACGACTTGAAGACCAATGTTGCCTTTTGACATTTTTTGGAAATTAATTCAAAATGAGCTGTATGTCTATTGTTTGGAATGTTTTATTCAAATATCAGTTTTATTGTATTCACTCGTTTTGTGTGGCCGGTATTTTCATCCTGCCAACTATTAACCACAAAATGTTAAACAAAATTGTTGGTTAATTTCTGAATTATCATTAAATCTAAAAATTAATGTGGCCTGACGTTGCGAACTTAGCAAGTTCTTCTTCAGAGGCTAAAACAGAAATGACAGAGGTACATACATTAACATGGGAGTGCACACAAACATGCAGGGATGAAAGAAGAAACACAAAAGGAGGATTAGGTGGGAAAGGTGTGGAAAGATGCAGGGGAGGGTGGATGAGAGAACAAAGAAACAAAGGGAGATGGCAAACCACAAGGGGTCTGGTATGAACAGGGGAGGGACCAGAAAGGGGAAGGATCAAAGGTCACAGGGAGTGGGAACGGACAAAAGAGTGTGGGAGTGAAGGGGGATTATGCGGGGGGGGGGGGGGGGGGGGGAACAGTATGGAGGTGAAAGGGATGAAAGATGGGAAAGATGGGTAAACACAAAACAATGAAGACCAGGTGGATTATCTGTAACAGAAGACAATGGAGGAAGAAAAAATTATTAATCATTTCCAAGTTGGATGTTGAGACCATGTGGTTGAATAGTTCGAAGACGATTCATCCACACTTCTCTCTGCTGAGGCGAACTGAGTCCTTGCGATGGCCAAGAGATTCAATGCCCTGCAAAATCATATCAGAAATGGAGTGGTTAGGCAGGTTGAAGTGATGACCAACAGGGGTGTCTAGTTTCTTGGTGTTAAACCGTAGACCGGTGGGCATAGAAACGCTTCTTGAGCGTATTCTTAGTCTCACCTACATACTGCTGCCTCCACAGACCCTGCAAGAAATGAGATATATGACATTAGGGGTGTTACAAGTGATGTTACCAATGGTTCTGTGGGTAGTGACGGAAGAGTGGCCAGAAAAGGAGTCAGACTCCTGGATATGAATCTGGCAGACAACACATCTGGAACTG